ACAAAGCCAGAAGCACACACATCAAGTCGTCAGATCAATAAACAACACAAAGCTAATATGGCAACCTACAGACCCCGCCGCTGGTGTGATTTATCGCAGTTATTCTGAAAGATGTCAAGCAGCTCATAGATGTGGACATGCAGCGAAACACACAGACTCACTTCCTGTTCGCTCGAGCAGCCGCGCATCACCTCTGCAGCTGCATCCCGCGAGCCTCCAACACATTTACCGTCACAGTAACTCCCAAGTACCGTGTCACTTACATGTTACTTTTTATCCCCGCTTGTTCTCCCATTTTGACAGCTCTCTCTGTCTCTTCATCTGTCACTGACCGCTTCTCGCTCAACCTTCTAGCGTTCTAACCAGCGACGACACACTGCGCCGCGAAACGCCATTGGTCGAATGAGTTCGAAAGGCGTCACTTGATTGGCCAGCGCAAATAGTCAACGCCACTTAAGGCTCTGTGATTGGTTCCTTCTCAGGATTCTGCGCATTTTAAGAGCACACAAGTGGTTCTGATTGGCTCTCTTTACTGTAACCCCGCCGCAGTCGGCTTGTGTGCGCGAAGTCGGTGAATTTCACCTGTAAGATATTTTTAGGGAAAAAAACCATGAATTAAAAAAGTGAATAATAATAATAATAATAAAAGGAAATGCCTGGGTTGTATTTCAGTTTTAGAAATAAATTAAAAGATATAAATGAAAGATGAAACTGTAGATGGAAAAAAAAAATGAAAGATATATTTTCCTTAAAATAAATTAGGGATTTGGGGACCAAATGTAATAAGCATTCATTTTTAACCCAACATTCCATTAGCATAATGTAAAAAACAAAAAATTAAACAATATAGCAATATGTATGATTTTGTATTGCACTAATACAACATAAATTACTGCATTATTGCATTCATGAAAATCACTTTTTGAGAATGATTATAATTTAAAAAAAAACACTCAGAAATCACACCGTACATTACAATACGGCGAATTTAGTAAAACCATTTCCTGTGGACCTAAAACATGCTTAATCTTCATAAAATTATAATTGTTATAAATGTAAATCTTATAATTTCTTCTTTTATTACTTGGGGTTAAAAGTGAGTTCACAAGGCAATAAGCAATTCACAAAAGTCAATTAGTTCATTTGCGGTTATGTACTATATTCTGGCATTATTTTAAAACACGCAAAGCTATTATTACACAATATAGCCTTAAATAATTAACATGGTAATCACTGTTTCATAAAGAATAAAAATGGTTTCTTCAAAAAATATAAGAATCTTTTTTTTATGTATGTATTTATTTAGTGTTTCGTTTTGATGGCTCATCAAACCAGGTTACCAGTTTTACTGTATTAATGACTGTACAAGTCTGATTTTCTGCTGGAAAATATTGTTACTGTGGTAAATTCATGTAAGGATATCAATATTGCAATACAATAAACAAAAGTGCTTCATACACAATGAATGTCATATTTATTGACAGATATACAAAATTCCAAAGAGTGACCTTTTTTTGTCTTTACATGAAAATACATTGTATTACACAAGGTAATAAATACAATTAAAGACAGAAAGAAAGTAATGGCATCACTATAATACTTTCAGTATCTCCCCGATTAAAAGAAAACTCACCTATCCATTAGTGCGTCCAAAGAAAAAAATACTTTATACCTTAACCTGAGACCTATTTCTAAAAGCACAAACCTAGTCTAACCTGTAAAAGCCATGCAGATTCTAATGTGGGACCTTTCATCCGGTTGCATGCATTTTTGCTCATTTGTTCTTAAAGATACTATGTGGTCAAAGAACATGAAATATATAAAAAACCTCAAATGGCAACAGTTCCAGATCTCTTGCATTTGTAAATCAGAAGATATATTCTCTGAATGGTGCCTTATTCCCTCCAAACCGCAGATGAAAAGCAAAACTCGTAACATAAATGCTCCGTTTTTTGATTGTTTTATCCCCTCAAAGGAAAGGCATGCATGATTCCCGTGTGACACAGTTCTTTCAGCTGTATGGAGAGAATAGTGAAGGAGGCGCTAGGATCTGGCGTTTCTCTCTGTCTCTGCCAGACACTCCCGAACAAGCCCTCTGGCATGAATGATACCTACAAAAAAATCAGTTTCCATGACACAATATTTGAGTTTAACATGAGTGCATTTGATTAAACAATGATATTTAGAAGCAGATTTATATATTTTGTCTTTGATCATGTCCACAAACCTCTTTTAAGTCGCTCCATGGCACTTTTACTCCCTGCATATGTTGGCCTTATTTCTTTCCCAAGTTCTTCAATGATGGCGAGGAGTTCAGCATATTTACTCTGAGGTACTTGGTTCCCATTTGGACCCTAAACATGATATAAGAGACAGAGAAACATTTTTAATAAACTTTAAAGTGTAAAAAATTAAGAGTATCAACCCTGTTATTTTAGTATCAGAGACTATTATAGCTTTTATTAATATCTCGAATTAGTTTTTACTTTCAATAGTTTCCATTTTCATTTTAAATTGACTTCGTTTTGTAATTTTGTTGTTTTTCTCATTTTTATTAGTTCGTCTTTTTAATATGTCTATAGTTTTTCATTTATATTTTAGGTTTTGTTGTTTTAGTACATCAAGTTAAACTAAGCGATTATAGTTTTATTCACATTTTTTAATTCGTTTTTTTACTTTTGTTTTCCGTTTAATTTTTAATTTTAGTTAAGGTTTTAGTAATTTTGTTGTGTTTTTGTCATTTAATAAGTCTATGTAGTTTTTATATAGTTTTAGTTATTTTAGTATATCAAGTTAAACAACGTAATTTTTTTAATTAATATTTCGAATTCGTTTTTACTTTTATATTTTCCGTTTTCATTCTAATTGTAGCTAAAGTTTTAGTAATAGTCATTTTTATCAGTTTGCTTTTTCTAAATGTCTTTATAGTTTTTATTTCAATTTTAGTTTTTGTTATTTTTTCACATCAAGTTAGACTAAATGAAGAGTTTTAATTAATGTTGAGTGTTTTTACTTTTAATGTTTTCTGTTTTAATTTTAATTTTAGTTTAGGTTTTAGTATTTTGCTGCTTTATTTTTATTAGTTTTTAAAAAAAAGATGCATCTACATAGTTTTTGTTTTCATTTTAAATAAGTATAACTTCCATTAAAATAACAATACTTTCAATGATAATTTTTCACTTTTAATATTTTCTGTTTTCATGGTAATTTAAAGTTTTAGTAATTTCGTTGTGCATTTTTTGGGGGTTTATTACATACAGTCTTTATTTCAGTTTTAGTTTTTGTTGTTTTAGTACATCAAGTTAATCTAAATGAAAACGATAAACTTTGCCTTGGCAACAAGCTGAAATAAAATATGTTTAAGGTATTATTATATTTCATTTCAAGTAACAATTTTTGTTTGTTTTGTTTTAGTGTTATAGGAACATGAAACCTACCTGTGGGAATCCCAACGAAGGCGGCCCAAAGTCATTTAGCATTGGCTTGTATGAATGTATTGTTACCATGGAAGATGGAGAGGGAATGTTTCCTTGTTAAAACAAAACACATCATTAACTGTACGAAACAACAACTTATAATTTACATGAACACATATGACATTATTTCAAGATAGACGTGCATTTGTGTAACTGATCTTTTGTCTCAAAGCCTCGCAGTAACTGTGATATAACCCTTGTGACAACTAGCCCCGGCCTTCGTTCTGTGCAATACCACCCTCCGCCACTAGGTGTCCCCAAAGCGCAATAAAAAAAAACTGCACGTCTGAATCCGATCAATCAACAGCCCGAGAGACGATCATGGAGGAAACGGCACGGGCTTGATCTTAGCCGCTGAAAGGATTCATTTTTATCACAATCTAGCGGCCTCCACGCAAACCCATCTGGCCACGGCGCGACGCGGACCCTTCGGGAAGAACCCGAACATGCACCTCACGCCGATATTTAGCCCTAGCGAAGGCGAGGAATGCGTTTTTTGCACTAGTAATAATGGCGGATGTGAAGGATCTGACCCTGTAGCGATCAGACTGGACAAAAACTACACACGGCTTTTCCCCAGGTATTCTTTCTCACGCTAATTCTTGCATTCGACCAAATACACTCAAGACGAAGAGTTTTCCACGCTTTTTCGGCATACCTTGGTTCCCAGAAGTTCCCGGAAGGTGTTGGTGGAGATTGGGTTTGTAAGACATACCTGAAGAGATAATAAATGAGAGAAATAAAATTGTCCCTAAAATCAGCGGAGCGTCCGTCTCAGACACTTTTTGTTTACAGCGGAGCACCGGCAAATATGGCCGCGTCACTCCTCATGACACCCACACTGCTGTCCATCATCATCACAAAGAACTCAGACAATTAACACAGGATTAATGAAAAAACAACCAGCGTTGTCCATCATCACAGTGACAACTGGAGAAGTTACAAAATCATGTTAAAAAATAAAGAAAAATACTGCTCGTTATCACGAGGATTTAAATATTTTTAATAGATTTTACTCGTAAGGTTTTTTTCTTTTCTTTTTAGAAAAATACACTTTTACTTATATATATATATATATAATAAAAAAAAAAAAGTTGGAAAGAAAAAAATTTTTTTTTGCAATGAAATATAATCAGATTCATTTTTTTTATTTGAATTTTTCCAAGATGTAACATTTGCAATTTTGGAACTAAATATTTAATATTTAAGATTCCAAAAGAGTTGAGTCGAGAACAAATCATGTTTAATTAGATTTAAGGTGGATTATTATTTTAAAGCTTTGTACATAATTTATACTGAAATAATCCGTACACGGAAATAAATGTTATTTTATGAAACTCATCCGACTTTTGAGAATTACATTTATACTTTTACTTTGAAATGCACCGAATACTGAAAATAAAAGACTTCAGGTGTACCCACTACAGTTTCCTTCTTGTTCAAACCGTACCACGCTGAAAGATAAAGTTAAATACACATTATGAATAGAAAAAAGTGGTTCCTTGAAGTGAAGACATTTTGAAATCGAGGTAATCCACAAGATTTATTGGTCAAATGCAAGAGTAGAGATCTTGCGGTCAGGTAAATTTTTCCATAGATTCTTTGTACAACAGATCCATCAGTAGTGCAACTCGTGCAAGGACGAATGACATTGTCTTTAGAGTGCTGCGACATCTACAATTCAGCAAAAACATGACATTTGAGATATGCAACTATACATCGAGATATAGTAGAGAGACCGAGCGTGTGTCAAATTCCAGCATTTACAGCAGAAATGAGGTTCGGGAGCTCTTTGTCCCCAATAACAAGAGTGACGGCAAATTATTAAAAGCAAGAAATAGAAAAATTGAGCAAAAGCATTGATTGATGTGGCCTTTTGTAGAGGACACTCCAGTTTACAAATCACACTCAAACTGAAACGCTGGAAAGCAGTGAAAACCTGCTGACCCGCTTCCGTAAACTAAAAATCCAAAGGCTTCGTCAAACCATGCAACGTCTCGATAAAGTCTTTAGGGTTGGGTTTGCACCGCTTACATCCATCGCTAAGCCAGCGCATTCCTGCTTTTAAATCAGGTTCTGTATTAAGTGGTAAATAAGCAGCGTCATGCCCAAGACATGCTGGGTCACAAGGCTGAAGGTGGGGACAGATGGAGGCCGTGCGAGACGAAAAAATAGAAATGGAAAAGAAAATAGAGTAACCCCTGAGCGCTGTCCTGTGTACAAAGTAGTGTATGTGACTTCATAAAGCCACTTATGTCGATGGAAAGCACAGGCCATGATTTAGCAGACTGGAGGTTGTGAAAAGGCAACAGACTGACCAAATATCGTCCAGTTTCGCCCCTCTCAGTGCTGTTTCCTGACGCACAGAGTTCTGATTCTATAGCTGCTTTGGCAATGAGTCCTCTTTGGACACGAACCCTGAAATATTAAACACGACACAAGCACTGTCTTCCTCACGGCGTGCCGGGAGAGGAAGGGTGGCTGGCTGGCTTACGATGCCGCATCTGCCCGAAAGTGAGGGGTGTTTGTGTCACGCTATGTGTTGACGGTGTGGCTGATGCTCTGCGGATGGAGTTGCTGCCACATTTGCTGCTGCTGCACAGCCAGCTGCTGAGACTGATCCGATGATGACAGGATGTTGATCAGGGGCGACACGCAGTTGGCAGGAATGATCAGACCTGAGAAGAAAAAAGAAAACGAGTTTCTGCAATTTATTATATCCATATGGATTCAAGTTATTTTTTAATTCCATTTTATTTTTCCAAAGTTCTCGGTCTTCAGTTTTTATTTATCTGGATTCCATTTGAATGGTTTAGTTAAATTTTAATAATCAAAAAAAGCATGTCCAAATCGAACTGAAACTTTAAAAATTTTAACATTCTGGAAAAAAAAACTGTTGTGCATTTTAATTTTTCTGGATTTATGATTTAATACAAATAATACAAATGTACTATTTAAATGGTTGTAATCAAATGAAGGCATAATCAACATTAACAATTTAATCCTTTAAAATTTTAAATCAAATGAAAATTAAAAAGTCATTTTTTTGCTGCACAACAGTGGTTTACAACTAAAATTATAACATGGAGGGGAAAAAAATGACCAATTCTTTATAGTTAATAAGTTTATTACTTTGAGAAGTACACTCTACTGTTCAATAATAATATATTTGTTTGACAACATACCAACAATTCTCTGCCCGTCCTCGGTTCTCAAACGCACAATCTGTATCTTCACGTTGGCTCCGCTGACTGAAGCCAGTACGCCCTCCACTTTGGTCCACACACTGAGGACGGAGCCACAGAGGACATAGTACGTCCTGCACCGCAGCCCGATCTCACACTGTAGCCCCACCGATACTTTCTTACAGTTCCCTCGCCTGTCAAAAAGAGTGTTCCTCATGACAACATTTTCAGACTTTACAATGTGCAAATCAAAAGTGAAACTCCATGTTTGTTTCTATTTTCACTTCCGAAATGACTTAAAAGAAGCACCTACCAGTACGCGTGCGAGCAGACGTTAGCCGAGGAGTTGTACTGATCAATCCAGTGCTGCTTGGCATCATCAGAGAGGACCTATTTTGAGATGAGAAGGATTAGAGACTGTACGAGCTGAAGAAATTACATGAAAGACTGTGCAAGATGCCAACAGGATCTAGAATTAACATTCACCAAGCACCAAATGAGACAGGAAATTTTTGATTTTGGATGTTGACATAAGTGGTTTAAACTGCATGATAACATGACCCTCGTTATAGCGATACAGACGTTTTTAGGACTTCAGACATGCAGCTATGAAGCCCGAATGTCACGTGGCAAATGCAATGCTGGAGTAAAACATTTGAAGATCAAATTTATGATGTTGTGATCATGATTGCTGTAGAGGAGTCTGTAATTCGAGTAAAACTGCCGCTCTCACACAGCACGTTGAGCCAATGTCTGAATCTCAAAGTAGCTGACATAAAAGCACGTTTTGATTTTAGGATATTTTTAAGGTGCCGTTTCACCTTGAGACTAGCTAGAACAAGCTGCTTGTATCAAATGACACAATAACTAGCGTGGCCATACGTCGTTTTTTTTCCCCGGACATGTCCTGGCCAGGATTTCTACATTGCCTAAAATATCTGGGTTTTGTCTGTTTTCATATTGAAGGTCTTTCTGAGGTCCTCATGCATTATATGTACAATTAACTGCATTGCTACAGCGTTCTCTGTAGATCCACAGCACAATTGGTAGATTATGTACAATGTCTACACACTATTGGTCAAACTATTCTTCAGTCATTACCTTCAGCAATTATGAAAACAAAGGCAAAACCTGGATATTTTACCCTAAATAACCAGTGCGGTTTGTCGATAAAATTACTGACTGAACTAATGCAAAATACATATGTATATATATATGGCTGATTAAAAAGACTTTTGTTTTTACCCCAATGATAAACCAAAAACATTAATAAAACTGCAGTAATGTAATACCTTTTTACTTCTCTTCTTGATGTCTGCATAGGTCTCCAGTTTAACTTGTTTTCCTATATTTGGTCTGTACACCATAAAGAGTCTCTTTCTGGGATTGACCTCCTTTACCAGGATGGAGATTTTCTTGTTATTCCGCACCTTGAGATGAAACACAATGCTGTTAGTTTCAGTCGTTGAATGAATTGGAAGTGGAGTGCAGAAAGGGGAAACAAAAAGCTTGTTCACCTGTACGTAAAAGCCATCATCCGGTCCATTCTGGTCGGCCCAGACGTGGGTGGCATCCTCCCATGACATTCCCCGTTCCACACTCACCTGAACACACAGAAACAACTTCTTTTTAGCCATTAACCAATTATGACATTAACACTAATAATGTAATCACAATGGTGCTCATAAACATGGACACCTATTTTAGTTTCTCAGTATGGATATACATACTGTATAGAGCTCCACATGGCCTGAGGTGGAATATCCTGGTGTCAAGAATTTCTTTACATCAACTTTCTTCACTTTTTCATCTCCAGAGCCCAAATCTGCAAAGAAAATATACATTTTAACTGAAATTGTGAACAAAATGAGCTAATCTTGGAGTCTAAAATGGTGTTCATTACATTAAAATCCCATTAAAATATGCAATGCCTAAGGCACAAATGAATATTTATAAAAGTTCATTTTTCCCCAATGCGTATGGACATATTTAATAAAAACAATAAGGTATAAGTTTAAGTTTCTCTCTGTATGTGGTATGTTGTTTTTAATATCTGTTGTGTTTTATTGCCGGTGTGGTCAGAGAAATTTCAACCTTGGTCGACAAAGTTGTATAGGAGTTTTGTGGCCTTTAGCCCAAGATTTGTTTCAATAGAACTTCCCCCCAAAAAATATAAATAAATACAGAATGAGAAACTGGGTTCTTTATATTTATGACTTTAGTCATGTTTAAAACAGCTCCTTACCTAAGATTCCCATATCATATCTTCCACTTTTTTTGGCATTCTGAATGACAGCGTTCAAAGTGTCGGAGAAATACTGAAAGAGAGCATTTTGTTGATGGACCTCCATACCAAGAATTCTGTTCAAGAACTTCCCAATGTTGTTGTAGTCTATAAAAAGTAAATGAATAAATAAATAAAAGTTATGTGGCATGAGAAAATGAAAACATTTGGCAATAGGCTGGGGCACATATTCAATTGAAAGTTTAAAATACTTGACATGTTTTACTCAATATTTTCATACATTTTGAAACATTATGTACTAATACATAAATACTTGCGAATTAGAGATCAACTGATATTAGAATTTGCTCATACAACAGCAATGTTTATAATGTATTGAGCCAATTCTAGTAAAACCTGTATAATGAATTAACGTGTATTTAGTCTTTCCTTCCTGTGACAGGGCAGCCATTCATCACTTTTTGAAGTTTAATAATCACATTAGGCCAGAAGGTGATTCCTGTTTTTTTTTTTATTTAAGAACTCTTAAAATGATAATTAAACCTTTTGTTATACCTAGGGATGTGCGATAACACGATTTATGATCGTGGATAATTAAAATGTCTCCACGATCTACTTTTAAAGAAATATCGTAGTATCGTGCTACAGCGCACATTCTATCGGTTGCGTTCTGGCGTCTCCGTCTCAATATACTGAACAACGTGACATACATTCACTTCAAATGTTAACTCAGCAGAAGAGTTCCACTCACAGGACACTGAACTTATTCACAATCACAAAAGTACATTATTTGCATCTGCTTTAAAACCTTGCCGGTTAAACTTTTCATTTAAACATTTCGTTGTGACACTCTTTTTCTCAGCATGTACACCTGAAGCGCACGCACACTAAAAAGCCTGTCGAACAGTGCCTGACTACTGGAGACGTGCATTTGTGGTTAAAAAGTATATACATTTTTATTTTTATTTTTGTTTAGAAAATGACCGATCGTTTTGCTAGATAAGACCCTTATTCCTCAGCTGATATCGTGTAGAGCCCTTTGAAGCTGCACTGAAACTGCAATTTGGACCCTCAACCCATTGAAGTCCATTATATACAGAAAAATCCTGGAATGTTTTCTGCAAAAACCTTAATTTCTTTGCGACTGAAGACAGAAAGACATGAACATCTTGGATGACATGGGGGTGAGTAAATGATCAGGAAATTTTTATTCTGGAAGTGAACTAATCCTTTAAGACTTCCTATGGCCTTAAATTTGATCAAACTGAATTTAAGAAATTTGAAGACTTCTTAAAAACCAGCAGGTACCCTGAACATTATTATGTGAAAAGAAAAGCTGAGAATAAAATTGATTGAAAATCGCTCACCTTTTTCCAGTGAGAGAACACCAGATCTATCCTCCACATTTATCAGCCCCACTCCAATTAAACCATTGCGGATTTCTGGAAAAAAAGAAAAAAAAAAGAAAATTCAAAGCATTAAGATTGTTACATTTTTGGGTTTTCAAGTGACTCTTTTCCTATTATTAAAAACAATCAACTGTACCTTTAAAGAAATCCCCCTCAAAGTCAGCAGGTGGAGACACTAACGGAGAGTCCAGACTGACAATAGACTTCATAACTATTTCCAGAGCGTTTCTGCCGTACTGTAGATGAGAAAAAGACATCAGCACATTGTCTAGCAACAACCCTATTTAATACTGACGGTGTGTGTAATCTAATCTTACTTTGTTGTCAAAGTTAAATCGGCTGAGATCTCTCGTCTCTGTGGCCCTTCTGTCTCCATGCGTTAACGCCCCCTATTTGAGAAAGACAAACACAATTAGGCTTACAAAATTAAAACTGACCCCCATTAGCATGCAGCATGTGCATGAGAGACTTACCAGGCTTTCTAGTCGTTTGGCAACAATCGAAGCGAACCGCTGCTCTCCAGCGAGTTCAGAGATGAGAAACACGTACTCGGGTGCTGTGACCTGGTTGGATCGATGTGTTCGACCTGTTTGCAAAGAATCCAAAGAGTTAGTGAACTGAGAACACAAATAAATGAATAAAATTAGACTATTAATTTAACTCAAAATATTTAGAACTAAATATACTTTTTATAATATTATACACATACACATATAATAATGAAGATACAATAAATAAAAAAATAAAAAAATACTATGTACCCACCAAACTGCTGAATAGCTCTGTCAGCACTCCAGGGCAGCTCTAATGTCATGTGCACCCTCCTCCTCTGGTTCTTCACTCTGCGGTCGGCTTGAAGTGAAATCCCAGAGCTGGCAGCCTCTGAGATAATTGCAATGTTCTACAAAGGTGAACACAAAACTGTTTAAATGCTGTTCATAATATCAAAACATTACACAGATGTGGGTAAAACCAAAACAGCATACCTTATCACCATCCATGAACCTCTGCTTCTCCGTGAGGTTTAAGATTTCAACTGGAACGTCAAGCTCTGATCGAGACTCGTAGGAAATGGTGCCATCATCATTGCTGACTACTCTGCCTTTGCGGCCAGTCATCTGCATTGCATAAGACATGCACATTAAAAATGGCACTGTTTTAATTAAATACACAGTGTACACAAAATAACTGACGGCCCTAAAAAATAATCTCTACAAACAGACCAACCTCTGCAACAATATCAGGGCCTCCCAGCTCATCGATGAGTTCGTCGAGCGTATTAGGCGGCAGATTTTCTGCCAGCTGCTCCAGTTGCTCCAGCAGGTTCCTCTTCATCCGCTGGGCATCTTCAACAGCATCCTGACTGGTCACACAGCTGCTCTCCTCTGGCTCACTTTTGGCTTAAGAACAAGTATTTAGTATGACTATTGGTATTATTATTCACTGGACAATGACCTTCTTCATTATACTGCTTTAATCAACAACTTTCAGCTGCAATTATCTGTGATAAAACATCTAGAAACATTGTGAAGAGCCCACTGGTCACATACCTACAGCAACCGTGTTGTTTGAAGGTTTGATGGTGGGGGTTGTAAAAGTGGGTCTGGTTGTTCCAAGCCCAGAGGCTAACAAGGCACTTTGAATAGAGTCTGGATCAATGCTCTTTTTCTTCTTCTTGTTCCTCTTGTCTTTGCTCTTTTTAGTGTCTTTTCTGATGAGCCACGGATCTAAGTTTCAAACAATTGGCAGCATTTGAATATTTCTAATTATTATGGTATCAACACTGAACTGAATTAAGCTGAATAAATGACACTATTGTCTTCTGTAGAGCTGCTTATTGCTAAACTGGATTCATTTTATATCTGCTGAACTTTGCACCATTGACAGTTATTGCACAGAACTGAATCAACGCTGATTAAATAATGACAGTATTGTCTTCTGTTGAGCTGCTTTTCAGCTGCAACATTAACAATGTTCTGGTTTTATTTACGTGAAACTGCTTTGAAACAATCTGTATGGACCCTTTTTACATTTCCAGGGTTCTCAGAAGTGCAAGCCGTCATAGCTGGGTAAACTTCTATAGAGGTGAATGGAAATTACAACAAATAAAATGTTTGCATTCCCATTTGCCCCAATGGGGGGAGAAAAAAAAAATCCACAATAATGTTTAAGACTTTACGAAAGATAAGAAAAATATGGAGATTGATTACATTGATCAAAAGAGATGAAGATATCAAATTTGCCATCAGTCCCTCAGCTGTCGTATTAGAAACACTTGTGCAGAAGTGTTAACTAGTTTTATGTCATTTAAATCTAAGGTAATATAACAAAGTGTAGTGTTATAATTTACAATGTTAATAACTTTGTGTCATCGCAGTCTGTGAAAAGGGTCCACTGTATAAAGGGCTACATAAATAATGTGGCTTGACTATCTTGGGTGCAATAATTTACAATGTTAACAACTACTACAGATTCTCACCATCTTCCTCATCCTCACTGGAATCATCCTTAAAGGGGTTGAAGTCATCTTCATCCTCCTCCCCTGAGCTGACCGAATTAAAGCTGTCGTCGCTTTCCACATCTTTGTCTGAATCATCAGAGTTGCTCTCATCTGAACTGGTACCAGACAGACCACCAGATTTACGAGCCTTCTTCACTTGCTTCTTTGTTTCTGGACCTGCAAACACAAGTCACCAACTGTCATTACTCGCCTTCATTTTCAATTTGAGTAACCCAAGAGTGGTTTTACTTCCTCCATTGAAATGTGCTCATAGTTTCAGGGTAGAAACTGCTGCTAAATATAACAAGGCATCGCTATTGTGGTTTTCATGTGCATGTGAACAGTACCTCTTCGCTTTTTGCCTTTCTGCTCAGTGGAGGTTTCTGAGGGTGAAGGCGTTTCCTTCACACTTAGGTCAATGCCTAAAAGACTGAAGAGTTTTTGTCTGTCTGGTGCAGGAAAATGCTTCTCCACCAGGGACTGCAGTACACCCCTTTAAAAAAAATAATGCATAGATATTTTCAGTTAAAAAACATTTAAAATGATACTTTGTCTATTATTATCATCTGCTACAGACTAAAGCATTTATAAAGGAATTATTTCTCTTTAAGGAATAGTTCACCTAAAAATGAAAATGTACTCGCCCTCAGGCCATCCATGATGAGTTTGTTTGAGTTTGTTCAGATTTGGAGAAATTTAGCACTACATCACTTGCTCTCCAACGGATGCTCTGCAGTTAATTTTTGCTGTAATTTCTCCAAATCTGTTCAGATGAACAAACAAACTCATCTAAATCTTGGATGGCCAGAGGGAGAGTACATTTTCAACAAATTTTCATTTTAGGACAAAATATTCAAAATATAAAAACTATTTCCTGCAAATTTATTGCACTCACTTTGCAGTGGAGACAAAGTCATTGAGCTCGCCTCCTCCCTCCTCCAAGGCCTCAAGGGTTCGAGCCTCTCCAGTTGATTGAAGACCAATCACCACACACTACAGAGAAGGTTACAGATCAGCACAACCAAAATCACTGCAATTCTTTCTCTCTGGAAGCTTTTTTTGTAATAAGAGAACGTCCAATCTAACCTTTCCATTTTTAACCTCCTCTCTGGCCAGCTGCACCACTCTCCGAACCTTGGAAGCAATGCACAGGTACTTGAAGAACCTCTGGTGAGCAGACCAGAACTGACCCCACATGGACTTTTTCATCCGTTGTTCTGCATCCATCAGGTTAGCGGCTTGCTGGAACTTCTCTCTTGCTCTTACCCACTGCAGGTTTGCAAAATAAATGACTATGATCATTTAAATGATTCTAAATATCACACATACTAATGGCAAAAAAAAGAGTTCAGTTTTAGTTTTGGCATTTTACGCACCAAGTGAACTGATTTGTTGTACATCTTGATGTAGTCCAGCGTTAAGGGAACTTCTTCGATTTTAAACGTCACGCCTGTGAAGCTCAGCTGTCGAGCAATGTACATTCCTCTCAGCTTCATATCCATGGCAACAATCTCCATGGCACCAACACCTCTAAAATAAGCCAACCAAGAAAAGGGTTACATTCAATATTGAGAGGATGCATGCTGGTGTAAGGATAAAAGAAACTCAGATACTTTGATCTCCTGAGAAACAGACAATACACTGGCACCTTCAAAGCACCCCACAGAGGGGCGGTGCAGGAAACGCCTCTCTCACATATGCATCAGTTCCTTTTCATCTCCTCCCTCCACTTAATTCACTCAGAATCCGCCACTGGATACCTTCCTTGGGCCAAGTGTGTGGACCTTACACTGGTACAAAAAAAGCAAGGTCATATGGACACAAACTCTTATATGATTGACTCACCTTCTTTCAACAGCTTGGATAAAATTTGTAAATTCCTTAAAAGGAGTTCCTTCCCCCCAGATCCCAAGGCGATTCATGTAGGCCATATTGCGGGGCTCGGATGCTCCTACACAAAATCAAACAAAAGATGTATAAGTAGCAAAATACTGAAATAAATGCATTTGAAAAGAAACATGAATGCATCCATGTTGGCCAAGATACAACATCCACAGTCACATACCTGTAGCACTTGCGTACACAACCCGAGCTTTTGGCAGCTTGTTCTGCAGCTCTAAAACCGCTAGCCCGGTCTTTGTGGGCTTGGATGACCCAATAGGGCAAACATTTTTGGCTTTGTGACACTCATCAAATATGATCTGAGATACTCAGTCAAGGGAATCGATCACCATAGTTACTAGAGAGCTGAATACAATCACACCATGTTAAGCGCTTCACTGCGGTTCAGTCAATATGCAATGAAACATGCTTGTTTTTCCACTCTAGAGCACAGAATGTTCTTCTAGGGATGTCAGATTGATGTAGTACCAAAATTGTGGAAATGAGAATCGTGAATTTATCGACTTCTGAGGGGGGGTTTTTTCAACTAGTGATGAACTGAAATGTTTTTGATTTTTTTAACCAAAACCTAAATTAAACTTTTAATTTAGTCTGAAAATCAAAACCAAAATAAATGTTTTCTTTTAAAATCAATTAGTAACATCTGTCTAATAAATCAACACAAATACAACCCAAATGGTTGTATATAAACATTTAAATTGCCCATAAAGCCATTTTTATTAACTTTATTGACATATTAATTTGCTCCCGAAATATAAACATATAAACAAATAACTTGTTTTCATGAGAGATTAATTGACAAACACATTAAATATAAGTTACGTGTCATAAAGTAATTAAGACAACAGGTTAAGTTAAAAAGAAAAGTTTAGTGCGTATATTTTGCAAAATGCTCCTCTATACAGGGTTCATACACATTTTTACCAATACATTTCCATGACTTTTGAGACAATATTCATGATCTAAATGTTCCATTATTTTACAATAAGAATAAAAATCTGTTCAAATTATCATAACAAAAGCTGCGGGAATGAGTAAAGCTATGCGATATAGCCTATGCGCAATAACGCACCGAAATTCAGGACCTGATTAAACAATTCTATTATACAGAGTTTTGTGAAATAGATTTCAATTACTTTTCCAAAACTTTCTGGGTTTATTTATTTTTCCAAAACTTTTCCAGGCCTGGAAATTGGTGTTTTAAAATTCCATGACTTTTCCAGGATTTTCATTATTTATTTTTCCAAAACTTTTCCAGGCCTGGAAATTGGTGTTTTAAAATTCCATGACTTTTCCAGGTTTTTCATGACCGTACGAACCCTGTCTATAGTTACTTTTTTTTTTAAGCTAACAAGCTAAGGACATTGAATGTTTTTCCTAGGCTTAACGTAATGTTACATGACATTGTTTACAACCTGTTTTATTGATGTCTTCTTTTCACAGCTGAAACACTGCCGCTTAAACTGAGTGGTTAAATGCCACATAAAAGAGCGTCAAAAAGTCATTTATTGTATGAATTTTGTTATAAAATTGACAATATCAGACTTTCTTCCTACTACTTCCTTTTAACTTGAAAGGATACAACACCATCAAAGTCATCTCCACACCAGTGTAGTAACTGTTTGAATCTCGTCTTGTACTTTCCCCCAGACTGGCTCTCTCCAATCAAGGATGAGTATGTGGCAAAGATTACACCTTTTTTCACACTCCCATTGTGTTTCGATGAGATCTTTCCATATTTGAACTGAAAGAGAGAAAATGTAGAAAAATGTATTTTCTACTCGAAATACACAAACATCTCGCATGTTGGCTAAAAAGCACTTAATGTACCTTGTTTAGCGAATAGACCTGAATGTTCTTTGCTCTGATGTCTCTCAAGTCCCTCTCTGCATCGTATTTCAAGTCATTTGAGACACTAAACCTGTACAGACCAGTGGTGGAAAAAAAGGCATGAATAATGGTACAACTTACACACCAAAAAGCAGCTTTGAAAAGGAAGAAAACAGGAGATTACCAGAGGGATCTTTTCCTCCCAAGAAGATAATTTTCATATATGATGCCAGCAATAGTTCTACCCTTTCCAACGCCGGCCCCGTCTCCAATCAAGTAGGCTGCTCTGTCTCCATTTGGTAGGAATGTCTCATGTTGCTGTACAAAGAGACACGATTGAAAGAGACAGGTCTGAAATACTGCAGTACACCATTTTAGAAATGATAGTATGTTATGATTTGACTTGCATAAATTAACTAATCTGATTCCTAAGTGGTAATATCATTTTAAAGGATAGAATATATAAAGAGGCCCAAACCTGAGCAGCATACGTGATGGCCTCAAGCTGTAGGGCAGATAACCAGCCTCTATCTATGGTCTCCTCTGGAATGGAAAGTCTGTACCACACATCTGGCGGGTTGACACTTGACAGAGAGCTGGTCTCCACCACAGGATCAGGGTGCCGCAGTCCAATTCTCACTGAGAGACGAGATAAGATCAACTTTACAAACTTGCCAAAAACAGAGTGAAAAACAACGGCTTAGTTGGCATTAATATTAATAATAATTCTGTATTTTTCATAGATTACATCTAATGTACAGCTATGAAATTACTGGCTGTGCACAACCCTTAAATTAAGCACTCTGATAACATGATTATACATACGTTTCATCGGCATGTATTCAGCATATGTCTCCGCATGACCCAGCTCCTCCTCTTCCTCTTCCTCTGGTTCCTCTTCCTCCTTCATTCTTGGCAATTTCTGCATTCAAATAAATAAAAAACAATCCAAAAAATTTAAATGACAGCTAAAGTCCTCAGTGAATATCTCATCACATTTAAATACAAATAAATAAGCTTACATTTACAGGTGAGAAGCTCCGCATTTTCATGTCATCATTGACCCAGATTCTTGCTACATCTTTGCTGGACACTTCCTTTTTCAAGCCATTGTTTAATTCCGCTGAAGAAAACGGAGACAAAAAATATTCACAAATATGAGACACAAATATTCACACACACCCACATTAGCGTGCCAGAAATGATACGGTCCCACCACAACATGAAAGCACCTGTGAAAACAGACTCAGTGCACTGCAGTTAAAACCCTACCCATACCTGATCTGTTCATCATCTTTGTGGAGATCAGAATAATTTCTGAAAGGAAGAGCACTGACATTAAAGAAAAAACAGCATGATTACATCCACACAGTCTCTCAAAACAGCCTTTAGTCAATGCTCAAGTTTTTAACAAGGAAACTCTTAAGTGCACCATAAATACTAGAAATTCAAAACCGTATTAAATTGTCAAAAAGTTGTTTTGTTTAAAGCAGGGTTATCATTAAATAAAGCTATTAAAAAAAAACATTTGGTTAATTGAAATAAAAGCTGAAATAAATATTAGATGAAAAACTTTATGAAAATGAGAAATGGTTGGTGCACTAAAAACACTAACTGGAAATAAAAAAAAATGAATAAGAGTGAGAAAAGCACATAAAATTACTAGAAAAATAAAACAAACTGAAAACATAAAAGCTTATTTGAAATACTAATAATAAACTATTGGTATATAAATAATACTATTATAATAAGATACACTGGTTTGAAGCACTGACAACTGTCTTTAGCTGCACTGTGAACATGGCCTAAATCGATGTTTCTTTAAAAATTATAAACCTAAAAACAGGTCTGCTATTTCTTAAGAGCATCTAAACGGCTTTAAAGGGTTAGTTCACCCAAAAATGAAAATTAGCCCATAAATTACTCACCCTCAAGTCATCCTAGGTGTATATGACTTTCTTCTTTCAGACAGTTTATCATATTCTTCTTTCAGACGAATCCAGTCGGAGTTATATTAATCTTGAAGAGTCTTTGATCTTTCAAGCTGTTTAATGCCCCTCAGGGAATGTTGCATGCATCAGTCCAAAAAAAAAGTTAAATAAAAAGCACCCATCCATTAAAAAAAAAAAAAAAAAAAAGCCTCTCACACGGCTCCAGGGGGGGAACAAAGGCCCGGGGGTGAACAAAGGCCTCCTGTAGCGAATCGGTACGTTTTTGTAAGGAAAATATCCATATTCAAAACAATCACTTTAATGTAGCTTGCGCCAACAGTTGTACACGGAAGCAGCTC